ATTCAATATTTAAAATAAATATACATTTATAATCATGCTTTCAATTTTCTCTTGAAGTTGAGATTTTTTATATTAATGATAAAAAATTATTCTCATAAATTTGTCATTATTTATTTTAGTTTTATAATTAATTTTAGATAAATTTAAACCTGATATAACTTTATCAATATTGAAGATATTAAAATTCTAATCCAAAATTCTTAAAGTACAGGTTATGATTTATTTATTTTATGGATTAAATTTTTAATTTTATATATGATAATTTTTTTTTTGCATTTTAAATTAGTTCTTTTTTTATTATAGCAAAGTTCCTATTATAGAGATTCTGTACTTTGTAAAAATTTTAAAAATGTATATTTAAAAAGGAATTTTAAAGAGAATTTTTTATTGATATTTATATGTTTAAATTAATAAAAGCATATATTTAGAGAGAAATATAAATAATCATTTTTAAAAAATGATTATTTTTATTTATATTATCATTTTTATAATTATTACTAAACTTAAAATTTAATATAATATAAAGATTAACTTGAAAAATATTATTTATTTATTACTATAATCATACTTAAAATAAAGTTTTTTTAGAAATATTTTCTCTTTTTCTTTTCATTCATATTATTCATATTTAATAAAATGACGCAAATAAGTACAAGAAATAAGATACTGTTTATTTTGTTTATTCTTTTTACTTTCTAACAATATTTACTTCATTTTTAGAATAAAACTTGGAAACAGCTACTTTTATAAACAAATATTTGGTTAAAGTTTCATAGAGAATAATTACTAACAGGAAAGAGTTAACAATTACGTTCATTCTTATTTTGCTGATTATGTTTAAAACAGAATGGCTGCATAATAATTGGGTAGGGATATCCGAAGTTTGGTGATATTCCGTTTGAAAAATTAGTAAAAGAAAAAAAAAAATACAAAAATAAACAATGTATCTCATTATGACAAATAATACTTTTTTGTGTAAAATAGCAAAAACCAAATCTAGTCAATTAATTAATACGCGTAATAATATAATATCGTGGAACATTGATTGATAATCATTGATAATCATATATTTTTTGGTGAACTTTGCGCAGTGTATCGGTTTCGGAAACATTTTTTTTTACCGTCTTGGAACTCGGAGGTAAAATTGGCTAATTTGATAGACAAAATTAAATTTTGTAAGAGTAACATTTTGATGCCGTGTTTTGGTTAATCTTTATGCGCCCCAACTTTAAAAAAAGTTAGTGGTTAAAAAAATTTTTTTTTTCTTATTATTGGTTTTTTGATTTCCAATGATTTCACAATAAAATAAACATTCGACTCATTTTTTTCTATCTTCGCGATCTTAACCCACAAACTTTTATTTTTATATACGCGGTAAATTTATACGGTACAACCTTTTACTATTATTTATTTATTTATTTACTATTCTGATTTTTTTTATAAAAAGAGGAGATAAAAACCAAATTTATTTATAATTTCGAACTTTAGAATAGCAAAAATGCCAGGACGAATGCTATTTCGATATACTCGTGAAGAGGTGGCCAAACATAACACTGTTTCAGACCTTTGGGTTATTTATAACAACAAAGTTTATGATGTGACAGAGTTTGCGGTGGATCACCCGGGCGGACCAGAGCTAATTAGAAAGTGGGGAGGCAAAGACGTGACAAAAATTTTAGTTGACCCAATTTCACATGTACATTCCGACGTGGCATACGATGTTTTAGCAGACATGTGTATGGGGGAAGTGGTGGAGGGACCTTCAACGGGCAATAATAACACACCTTTAAGTTTAATGGATAAAAAAACCATGGACAACAAAAATTATTTTGACGAAAAAACGTTTGATCGATTTCAACCACAGAACACCGATATTAAATCTGATTTTCAAAAAGAGAAATTCCTTGACCTTAATAAACCATTGTTTGATCAGGTGGTGAATAGTAAATTTAGCAAAGAATTTTACCTTGAACAAATTCATCAACCACGTCATCTTCCGTATTCGGCGAGGTTGTTTGCGAATCCATGGTTAGAACTCTTAACAAAGACTCCATGGTATGCGATTCCAATATTATGGATTCCGGTGGTATCATATCACTTATTCATGGCATCAGAGTTAGGATCAAAACTTGTTACGATTTTCTTCATCATTGGTATCGGAGTTTGGACCTTTTTAGAATATGTACTTCATAGATATTTATTTCACGTTGATTCACTTTTACCCGATCATCCTTACGCATTAACAGTGCATTTCGCTTTACATGGAATTCATCATTATTTGCCCATGGATAAGTAAGTTTTAAGTAAAGGAGAAATTTTTTGATGAGTTTAAACAACGTCTAGATCATGATCACTTACGTGTGCGTATTTTATTCTTTTAGCCTTCGTCTTGTAATGCCTCCGGTTCTTGGATTCACGATTGCGTGGCCAATCTCGCAATTAGCATATTTGATCTTTCCAACTGAAATTGCTCACGCTATAATGGCCGGTGCAAAGTTTGCTTATACAATTTACGATGTAACTCATTTTCATCTTCATCATTCTAGACCTTTTGGTAAACATTTGAGAGAGATGAAAACTTATCATTTAGCTCATCATTACAAGAATTATGAATTAGGCTATGGAATTTCAAGTAAAATGTGGGATTATGTGTTTGGAACAATTTTGGTTGAATGAATTTATTTATACTACGGTTAGTAAAATTAATGAAAAGGAATAATTTAGTTGTAATCCCGATCATAATTTTTTTTTTTTATTTAGTAATAATATATTATTTCGTTATTATTTACCATGTCAAGGCAATATTTCTTATCATTTTCTTTTCGTTTTCTTGATTAAGTAAGATCTACGTTATTTTTATTGTATGAGCTAATAATAGATTTGTAATAATGTAAAAATAATAATTCTATAATTTCATATGACTATTGACTGCGGTACGCTATTAATCACATGATATATTTTGTGACCCCACAGTAAATCTTTTTTTTAAAAAATCATATGAAAATAAGTAATGTTTTGGGAGGGGCGTTTTTGAGTTCATAACATTTTTAAAAAAGGTTATCAAGTAATCTATTACACGCTTTCATTTTCTTTCTTTCCCATTTCTTCCTAACGTGATAATATCTTCTTCATTCTAATACCTTGCATTATCTATTAAATTTGACATTGTTTATTGTTTTCTTTTTTTTTTTATTGTTGAATACGTTTACGCCCAAGTACATTTACATTAGAAGCGCAGGTACTTTGTCAAAAGCGCGTTGAATGAATCGGAAAAATTTTACAAAATATTTTTCTAAAAAAAATATTTGCTTAATAGGGAAGGATATGATGATGTTACGTAAGATCATCTGACTAGGTAGGAGAAAGTTATCTATTCATCTTTTTTTAAAAGAAAAAAGAAAAAAAAGAAAAAAAAAAGAGATGAGAGGTAAGTTGTAGATTAAGTATTTATAAAGTAAGTAACATTGGCGTTTTTTTGATAAACATACTATATCATTATGGTGTTAATGGCTTTAGACACGAGTTGACCCATTATTTAGTTCGTATCATTTTAATCGTGGTAAAAAAAAAAAAAAAAAGTGGTTGATTTTAAAGATACGCGAATTTTTTTTAATGATCGGTTGGGGGGTAAAAACAACGTGCTTGTAGACATATGTTTAAATGTCATTGGTCAACCGTTCAGTGAAAAGTTGAACGGAATAATTCTTAACCAAAAGTTGTTACGAAAATAACGTACTCGATTTAGTAATGAAAATATTTGTCGGAATATTTTTTTTTGTTGAGCGTGAGCGTGTGAAAGATATTAATCCTTAAGTTTATTATCACATTTGACAAAAACTCAAAAAACTTGAATTCCCTTTTCTTGTTTTCCACGATTGTTTAAATTCCTTTTTGATTGTTTAAAGAAATTTTCTCAAACTAAAAAAAAGTTCTCAAGGTATAAAAAGATTTTTTCATTTGTATCATTTCTTTTTTCCTTTTTCGAAATTAATTTTCCTTTCAAATGTGATTATTTCCTTATTAACAGTCCCATTTAGACGGTTACCGAATTCCCATTAAAATGTCCCCTGATCCAACTAAATTAAAACGTGATAAAAATTTTTTTTTCAGCCATCTTTTATTCATATCCCCTTATCTCATTTTATCTAACTTGTTAATAATAAAAAAAAAAATCCCTTGTTAGGAATACTTGTTTTCTCGTCTTATGATCGTGTACAACTTCATTTATATATATGATTGTAGATTCTTAAAAAGGAGGATTAACCATATACTTGAAGTATTTTGACGCTAAGACTCAATCATTTCTTTGTTCACAAAAAAAAAAAAAAAAATAATTTCCAAAAAAAGATAAAGTGATGTTCATTACTTTATATTTATATATATATTGGTCATTATATTCAACAACGAAAAAAAAAAAAAAAAATTAAATAAATATATATATATCTACTGCACTTTCACTACTTATTCCTTCATTCAAAACCTTGACATCCTTTTATTCTTCCCCTCTTTTTTATTTTTTTTTCCTTTTGAATAAAGAAAAAGGACGTTCATGTTATAGTTATTTTCTTCTTTTAATAATTAAATTTATTAAAAAAATAGTCAAAAAAAAAAAAGGACACGTTTTGAAACAAATTATTATTTTTGGATTATAAATTGTACATATTTTGTTTTTTTTTAAAAAAAAAAACCTATAAGGCAAGTTGTTGTTTGTACGCGGCCTTTTAAATATCATTTTGGAAAATTGTATACCTACAATCTATACTTTTCAAACTATCAAACGAAAGGCATCCAAAATCATCTGGTAAGCAATAAACTATTACCGAATTGTCGGATGTTTGATGTTCATGTAGTGTGCATAATTATATGGCACCGCGTATTTATTTGTTTGTTTTTTTTTTTTGACGATCATCTTTAAAAATTAAATTTTCGATTAGACATCCAAAAAATGCCGAGCGTAGATAATTCTCATGAAGAATCTCAATACGTTTCAACTCCGTTCACTTGGTCGCAATGGGGTGAACATGTTTGTATAGCTGGTTCATTTGATCCTCCAACACCAACATGGACTCCAATTGACATGCCAAAAAATTCAGATGGTGTTCACGAAGCAATTTTGAAGTTGTTACCAAATAAAAAATATTATTATAAATTTGTTATTGATGGTAATTGGGTTTTGGATCCTACTTTAGATTCTTACCCTGATGACCAAGGAAATTTTAATCATGAAATATGCGTGGATCCAGTTCCTGATGAAAAATCTTACGAGAAACCTGTTGCGGAGGATCCTCCTCGTAACGAGGAGGAAGTTCCAGATGTTCCAAAAGTGGTGGTTGAAGAAATTCATCTAAACGATGAGAAAGTTGGAGAATCAAACGTCACTGATGAAAATGATGAATTAACCAATGAACCCTTGGACAAACGGGAACCAACAGAAATAGTCATTTCACCCGAAATTGAAGAACCCTCTCCGGACCCAATCATTTATGACGATGTTTCAAAAGAAACCATTAATGAACCTGTATCCACAGAATACGTCGCAATTGATAATTCTCCGGCCCCAATCGTTGACGACGGTGTATCAAAAGATGAACCTGTATCCGGAGAAAACGTCGCAACTGAGATTCCTCAGGCCCCAATCGTTGACGACGATGTATCAAAGGATGAACCTGTATCCGCAAAAAACGTCGCAATTGAAAATCTCCAATATATCGAATCACAAAATACTTCCAAACCCATCAAGATGAAAATTAACCCTGTTGACATTGATGAAGATGTCGAAGAAATAAATATTAGTCATAATTCGACTCTTGAACAAGAAAGGAAAGTGGGAACGGACGATAAAAAATCACCAAATATTCCACCACAAGGAACTGTTCAAATTGAAGATTCAAAAATTTCGAAAAGTGAACCAGTTCCTGAAGTTGCTGATGAACAATCTAAATTAGATCCAGATTTCAAAAATGGATCTGATCTTGAATCTTTTCATAATGATTATGATGATTATGATAAAAATGATAATGAAAGTCCCGTTACACCAGCTTCAACGGTAGATCCAGCTGAATTGGATATGTTCAATAATCTTACTTGGGCTAAAGATGATTTATCAGACGACGATGTTGATGCTTCTAGTTCTTGGTTAGAACCACCAATGGCAGATTACGTTGACCCACCTTCTACATGGGATCTAAATAAAAGTGAATCCGTTGTATGGGCTGAAGATTCTCCAGATTCTAACATTGAATGGCCAGATATCGTTCACGCTAAGCAAGAACAATTGGCAAGTTCCTGGAGGGATGAACTTCTCAAAAAGTCCGAGGAACACGCAAACGATGAGGGAATTCAATCACGTGAAGAAACTGCTTCTGAGCAGATAAAACATTCAAATGAGGCTTTGTTAAATGAAATTCCATCATCGACAAATATCAACGAGAAGTCACCCGTAAATAGAACCTTTGAAGAAAATAGTGAAAAGAAAAAGGTCCTTGAGTTCAAGGAGAGTGTTGTTGAACGTGATCACGATGTTTTGAAAAATAAACTAGTTATTAAAGAAAACATTACCTACGAGGACGTTAATACAACGTTTGAAAAACCAGAAAGTAGTGCTACAGCTTCTATGAAGATATCGTCAATACCCACAGTTGTTACAGCAGCACCAGTAATCGTAGATAACACAATGTCACAAGATAAACAACTTGATGACTATTTAGATCAAGGTATTGAAGAAGAAAACCGATCAAGAGAACAACATGATTTCGTTATTTCAAAGACGATCGAAGTTCTGAAGAATTTAGAGCAAGAACCCCAATCAATCTCGAATGCTCCGGGTGCCAAGATAAGTCAACGTAAGATCATTTCGTTTTCACCAAATTCGTCACCTGGTGAATCAACGCGAAATGTTGATACATGTATTCAAAATATAGCTACCTTGTCATCACGAGGAATATCAACTCAAACCAAAGAAACCACCATCATAAAGTCCAAGTCAAAGAAACCTAAAGAGATGACAACTTCTCGAGAGATATCACAAAAAGATCCAATTTTAGCTGTCCAACGTAATGATATTGTAGATAGTGGGGGTGGTATTATTTATTTGGTTACATCATTAGCAACAACGTTTACTCTTGGAATAATTTCTATGCTATTTAAAGCCGTTTTTGGAAAGAAAAAGAATAAATAAGGTGTGTGGCTTTAGACACGAGTTGACCCATTATTTAGTTCGTATCATTTTAATCGTGGTAAAAAAAAAAAAAAAAAAGTGGTTGATTTTAAAGATACGCGAATTTTTTTTAATGATCGGTTGGGGGGGTAAAAAACAACGTGCTTGTAGACATATGTTTAAATGTCATTG